TGTTCCACGCTCCTGGAATCGCTAAGGGCGCTTCCCACTGGTAATTCCTTTGTTTCAAAAAAATGCCATTGCAGTGCCTCACCAACACGATTTTCATAGAATCACAGACTCGTTTGGGTTGGAAGGGACCTTACAGACCATCTAGTTCCAACCCCTCTGCCATGGGCAGGGGCACCTTCCACTAGACCAGGTTGCTCCTGGGAGTCCAGTGCCATATGCCCGGTAGGAATTGCCCTGAACAAAGCGCCGTGTAAACGGGAGCAGTGGATGTGTTACTCCACGACCTCTCCTAAGGGTCTGCTGCAGGGATTAACAGGCCAAGGTGCTTTTCAGGATTGGGTTCGTGTGGTGACTCTTCTGGGAGGGCTTGGGGGAGGAAGTGGGTGATCCCTGCCTCCTGCAAGAGAGCTTTGGGAACAGTTTATGCCCAGAAACTTCCTGTGTGCTTTGAGACACATGCTCTGTGGTTCTTGGCTTTCCAAAATTAAACAAAAATTAAAGTGTATCCAGAGAAGTGTGGCCAGCAGGTCGAGGGAGGGGATTCTGCCCCTGTACTCTGCTCTGGTGAGCCCCCCCCTGGAGTGCTGCGTCCAGCTGTGGAGCCCTCAACATCAGAAGGATATAGACCACTTGGAGCGAGTCCAGAGGAGGCCACGAAGATGATCAGAGAGGTGGAGCACGTCTGCTATGAAGAAAGGCTGCGAGAACTGGGCTTGTGCAGCCTGGAGAAGAGGAGGCTCCAAGGAGACCTCATTGCAGCTTTCCAGTATCTGAGGGGGGCCTACAAGGGTGCTGGGGGGGACTTTTTACAAGAGCCTGTAGTGATAGGACAAGGGGGAATGGGTACAAATTGAAAGTGGGGGGGTTTAGATTAGATATCAGGAAGAAGTTCTTCACAGAGAGGGGGGTGAGGCACTGGAACAGGTTGCCCAGAGCAGCTGTGGATGGCCCATCCCTGGAAGTGTTCAAGGCCAGGCTGGACGGGGCTTTGAGCAACCTGGTCTAGTGGAAGGTGTCCCTGCCCATGGCAGGGGGGTTGGAACTAGATGATCTTTAAGGTCCCTTCCAACCCAAACCATTCTATGATTCTGTGATTCTATGTTAAAGACCTTCCACGTGGTTCAGACAATAGGGTGCTTTTTACATGTATTTTTCCTCTGACTTTTTAGGATTACAGGGTTGGGGTTTTTGCTGCTGTTGGGATAAACTGAAGTACTTATTTTTGGATCGTTCTGTATTTAAACAGTGGCAAAGCTGCCCTTCTGGTTACCATCTGCAGACTTTGAAAGACACGTTTTTCCCGTAGCCCAGTACCGTTCAGCACAGATAAACGCACTCCTTGTCCTCTGGGTACAAAGACTGTCGCTGCGCAGAGGTTCGTGGCTCTCAGGGGTGGTGCTGAATGGTTCTGAAAGGTGTGAGCGCAGCAGTGGGGTCACTTAACCCTGTGACTGACCAAAAGGTGAATCCTAGGAAGAGCGCGGCTGTAAAGACACCGACGGATTGCAGGAGTGAAAGTTGAAAATGAGGGAGGGGCGTGTCAGAGCCCAAGAAGACATAGATGCGGGTGGTGTGATGAAAAGGGTGTTTGGAGGCCACGCGGGAGGCAGCTGGTGACGGGCTGCCATGGGTGGGAACAGGGAAGATGAGCGGCAGCACAGGCAGAAACAGGAGACGGATCTTCCCAAGGGAGGAGCTGCAGCACTTCCCATCAGAGGGGAAGGACTGACTGTTCGGTGGTGACTTTGCAGGGCGGAGGGAAGTCTCGTCGTGGGAAATGGACTGACTGGTGTCACAGAGGTGGGGGAGAGGAGTGCTCTTCCCCCCGTTCTGAGATGTGAGGTGCCTCCTGTAGTCTTGGGAGGTTCCTTTGGGGGGTGTCCTGACTTTTCCAGGCGAGCGCAGGCAGAACTGCTTTACCTCCTGTTCGTCCCTCTCGGAAGAACCACCAGGTCTGGCTTTCCCGTTGGCTCGCTGTCGCAGCGTTGTCAGGGGTGTGCCCTGCGTGCGGAACCCGGTTTGCGATGGCCTGTAGTATCCAACTGCAGGGTGGAGAAAGGGGGTAAGAGGCGTGTTTCAGAGCAGCCTGCTCAGTGCAACATGCATCTCGTTTGGCTCAGAATTAGGTAAATAATGAGCTCGTCATGGGCACCGGGGCCTTGCCTGCGACTTCTGAGGAAAGACAAAGGATGCAGACTTGTCAGGAGCATCCGCGCGGAAAGGCAGTGAAATTGCCCAGCTTCTTTTAAAAACAAGGTGCTGCCTGTAAGGAATATTCAGCTTTTCATGGAAGAACTGAGCTGTGGCAGAAGGCGTTTTCTGAAAACCGACCCAGGCTTTTCCTCAGCCCGAACTTGCCAAGGTTACCGTGTTAATGATTAGTTAAGGCGCATGGTTTTCTGTCAGCCCGTGCGGCGGCAAGGAGCACTGTTAAGGTGCTAAGTGACTTTTTTTGGAGTCTGCCTTTTGCTAATGATTCATCTTGACCCTCTCCCTTCTTATGCAGTCCTGCAGGGCGGGGCGTTTGGGGGTTGGTGGGGTTTTTTTTTGTAGGTGGGCTTTTTTTTTTTTTCTGATAAAGCAACTGGCAACACTACTGGTGGGCTGAAACGCTGATCCTTAGTGAAGGTTTTTATTCCCATGACTTTAAACCCTTGATTAGGGAGGATTTGGATCAATCTAAAATACAGTCATCAGAAAAGACCGATGCTATCCTCTGTGGAAAGAGGATTACTTGTGATTTCATTAGTTTTAGTACACAGATTGAAAGCAACTTCCCATCAAATGTAAGTTGGAGAGAGAGAAATCTCTCCGAAGTGGTTTGGATGAGAAAGCAGTTGCATGGGCTGGGAGGTGGTTGAGAAGCCCAACACAAAGGCAGTGTGCTGGTTTTAACTGGAAAGAGTTAATTTTCCTCACAGTAGCAAGTATGAGGCTAGCTTTTGGCTGTGCTGGGAAGAACACTGATAACATACCAATATTTTAGTTGTTGCCAAGCAATGTTTATATCAGGTCAGGGACTTTCTGATACCGCACCTGTGTTCCCAGCTTCCTCTCTGCAAGAAGCTGGGAGGGGACACAGCCAAGACAGCTGACCCAGACTCACCAAAGGGACATGTCATGCCATGCAATGTCATGCTCAGTATATTTGAGTTGAGGGTTAGGCTGGGGGTTGCGCTCTCTCTCTTGGGCTTGGTCTGGCTCTTGGGTTCTCTAGCTCTGCCTCTCTCCACTTGGCAACTGGCTGGGTGTCAGGTGGAGGTGGTTAGCACTTGTATAATTTTTCTTTTCCATTATTTTCATTATCGGTATAATTTTTTTTTTCTTCAATTATTATATTGTGCTTATCTCAACCCACAAGTTACCTTGTCTTCCTCCAATTCTCCTCCCCATCCCACGGGGGAGGAGGGAGGCGAGTGAGTGGCTGCGGGGTGCTTGGTTGCTGGCTGGGGTTAAACCACAACAGGCAGTTTGTTTCCTGAAGAAAAAAATGTTTAAGTGAATCTAGTGATAAGAGCAACTTCACTTTAGCATCTGTCAGGGCGCAGCCCTTGCCTATCGGGTACCTCGTGATGAAATTCCTAAGCTTACCGAGGAAGTCGTCCAGTGCAGGGACACCGATGTAACAGGAAGGTATTGCACAGATGCGATGACAGGGTGTCTCACGGGAAGGTGCAGACTTTCCAGTCACGGTCAGTAGGAGGGAAAGGTCAGAAAAGGGAATTTCCAGACCAAAATCTGACTTCTAGCGAGTAAGACACAAGTTCGCACTGGCCAAGGGGTGGTTGGTGCGGTTCTGGATTCCGTGTACGGAAGCTTTGTCTTGCGTCAGGTCTCCTCCGTGAGACTTCTGTTTCAGGATGCCGTATCAGAAACGAAAGCCAGCTGAACTGGAGGAAGCGTGCCCTCCCCCAGTAAACTACAGCAGTTTCCCAGTATTCTCCCAGTAAAGGGTTTGGCGACTGTTAGCTTTACTGCTTCCGCTGGGACACCTGTAGTTGAGTGCTTTGCTCACGTGAATTAGGGGACTTAGTAAAGAATAAAAGAGTAAAAGGTACTCGCTCTGCCTGTAAAGGTGATGCTCTAGCTGGTAATTCTTTTCTGCTTTTAGAACTTCTCCACCCTTAGGTTTCAGGAGTTCGGCCGGAAGGCTGGGAGCTGTCGCTGCTCTCCTCTGGAACTGCAGACGAGCTGAACGCGCTGGCTTTGCAGCCGCAGCGCACGGGTGTGTTAAATGCCGAGGTTAGGGCATCCCCTTGTCTGTTCTGAAAAGGGCACCCAAGGGTAATAGAGCCCAGGAGTGGCTAATTGCGAAGTGTAAACGAACTTAGCTCCAGAGCTCCTAGTTTAAAATCAGCTGTTGAATTTCTGCCGAGAACTGAACGATTTCAATCTGTTTTAGGTGTCTTTGTATCCAGTGTTGTTCTGGTCTTACAACAGCGAGCACTTTTCAAGTTCTATATGATCGCCTCGGCGTTCCTGCTGGCTGCGACTTCAGTGTTGGTGAATTACTATGCTGCTTTGCACATCAATTTCTACAGTGCCTACTACACAGCCGCGTTCGGAATTCAGATCTTCCCTCATAAAGGACCTTCCCTATGGATGGCGCTTTCCATCCTTCAGCTTACCTTTGGAATCGGGTACGTTACGCTGCTCAACGTGCAGTCCGTATACTCTCAGCTCATCATCCTGGATATCCTGATCCCTGTCGTCGGCTTGGTGGCGGAGTTACCTGTAAACGTGCGGCAGGCGCTGGTTCTGGTTTCGGGCCTGGTTCTGACGCTGAATACCACAGCCGTTTTACTGACCAGGATGAAGTGGTTCTACTATTCGGTGCGATACGTTTACCTGCTGGTGAGGCACATGTACCGCATCTACGGATTACAGCTGTTGATGGAAGACACGTGGAAAAGGATCCGCTTCCCAGCCGTCCTGCGTGTCTTCTGGCTGACGAGACTGACGGCACAAGCCGTGGTGTTAACCTACGTGGTGAAGGTGGCCGAAACTAAGCCGGGAGAGCAATCCTTCCCAATCTCGTGGGAGAACTGCTGGGAGTTGATCTGCAGCCTGATCATAAGTGGGTGTGACTCGACGCTAACTGTGCTCGGCATGAGCGCCGTCATTTCCTCCATAGCGCATTACCTGGGACTCGGCATCTTGGCCTTCATTGGCTCCACCGACGAGGATGACAAAAGGCTGGGTTTCGTCGCGCCCGTCTTGTTTTTCATTTTGGCTCTGCAGACGGGTTTAAGTGGCCTGAAGCCAGAAGAACGACTGGTTCGCCTGAGTCGAAACATGTGCCTTTTGTTAACCGCAGTCCTGCATTTTATCCACGGAATGACAGACCCCGTGCTGATGTCCCTCAGTGCCTCCCACGTGTCGTCGTTTCGCAGACACTTCCCCGTGCTCTTTGTTTCCGCCTGCCTTTTCATCCTTCCGGTTCTGCTCAGTTACGTCCTCTGGCATCACTACGCACTGAACACATGGCTGTTTGCAGTGACAGCCTTCTGTGTAGAGCTTTGCCTAAAAGTAATCGTTTCTATCACTGTGTACCTGTTGTTTATGATTGACGGCTACTACAACGTGCTTTGGGAAAAACTTGACGATTACGTTTATTACGTTCGTTCAACTGGCAATATTATTGAGTTTATCTTTGGAGTGATAATGTTCGGAAACGGGGCTTACACGATGGTTTTCGAGTCGGGAAGCAAGATTCGCGCTTGCATGATGTGTCTGCACGCGTACTTCAACATCTACCTGCAAGCAAAGAATGGCTGGAAGACTTTCATAAACCGCCGGACCGCCGTTAAGAAAATAAACTCGCTTCCGGAGGTCAAGGGAGGTCGGTTACGCGAAATCGATGACGTCTGCGCCATCTGCTACCACGAGTTCACCACCTCGGCGCGCATTACTCCGTGCAACCATTACTTCCACGCACTTTGTCTCCGGAAGTGGCTGTACATCCAGGACACCTGCCCCATGTGCCATCAGAAGGTGTATATTGAGGACAAGGAAAATGCCAATATCGCTAACAACAACGGGTTCGTGGCACCGAACGAACATCCCGCACGAGCTGCGGAAGAAGCCGCTGATGCTGAAAATGAATTCAATGAAGACAATGACAGTTCTGAGAGCGACGGGGAAGACGACGACTGCGTGGCACAGCACTTGAACGAGACTCTTAACGTTAACTCTCTTGGTGACTGAGATGTCCTTTGCCGAGCCATGAGGTATTTAAGGTTGACTTCAGTGGAATAAAAGTATCGCTCTGTCGTTATTGTACTTAAGCACAACAGCAGTATCTCAGTGTTGAGTCTGTGAACGGTGGTTGTTTACTGTGGTGTGTGCTACTGTAAATATACCTCTAATTTTTGCTGGTCTCTTTCATGACCACCTTAAAATTATGTACATTATTGTACATGGAATAAAATGTTTTCACATGTTTTTAAGATGGTTGGAAAACTACTTTAATCGATGTAGTGATAATACTGTGCCAAAGAGTGTATACCAGTAATCCCCATCAGTGAGTTCTGGATGCAAATGACAAATACTGGTGAAAACAGACTGTTAAATCGGAACTGAAAAGCCCGAACCAAAGCAGCTTTACTTAGATTCAGTATTAGCAGAGCTTTATTGCTAAAAACTAGCGAGTTGTGTTTTATAAAATAAATACAAGCGTAGGTTGGTAGACTTAATGTTACAGCATTTGCCTACGTGGAACAACAGATGAAACTGCTAGGCTTTCTGGTAGAGCAGAAGAGCATGCCACGGCTGCGTTAAACGCCTCTGAATTGCCCGCAGTAGCCTGAAGTGCTCTGCCTCTGAGTGCAGCAGCCTGGCCTTCCCCTTGTAAAGCTACCGGTAGTACCCAGAGGGGCCAGCTTTGGGCTGTCCTTGAAATCTCCATGGAAGGGAAGAGGGCTGAGAAACTGCACGACTGCAGACCGCCTTTTCAGAAGCAGCTTTAATCTTGTACCATAAAACAGCACTACATACTGTCTCCCAGTGAGCAGAACTGGCAGATAGGACAGGGTTGGTTTACATTTTTGCGATACATTTACTAATGTGATGCTGAATGATTGTAAGAAAAACAACTTCATGTATCTGGAAAGAAGACTTTAAGAGTGTTGTTATATAGAGTATTGGCCAACTCAAGTGGGTCATCATCTCTCACTGCCGCCATTATTTCCAGTATTTGACTAAAAAAAAGAAAAATTGGTATTAGAAGACTGGAACTCAGTACTGAATGTACTTCAGCCTGCTGCATGCTTACGTGCAAGTTGCTAAGAATAACCTGGAATGAAAACCTCAGCTGAGAACAACAGGGCAAGGTGCTCAGATACGCAAAGAGCTTCACGTTTAAGTCACTGCCATTCCCTTCACACTGAACACTGGCTGCTCACTGGTACAGATTCATCTTTGGTCTTCTGACTCTTGTTTGGAGGTAATTAAACAGCTTTCTGTTTCAAAGGAAGTGTCATTTTGTGGGTGTCTTTATCAGTGCTCTTCATTTTTCAGACTGGAAGTCATTAGCCTTTCAAGGCTAAAGCTGCACTAGGAATAAACTGGTCTGTGGCAAAGCTTAAATCCCAGATGCAGCCTTATCTGAGAGTAACTTGTTCCTATTTCCCTGTTCTCTAGATTAATTCTGATTAATGCATTCAGATATGTGCAGTAAATCACAAATGAGCAATTTCTAAAGGCCTATAGTTTTGATACAAGCCAGGAAAACAAGGTAAAAGAAAAGGGATGAATAATGTTAACAATGAGTAACAGAAAACTAAACCACAATCTTTTCTCTCTACTTATTTTCTGGATTTTGTATCAATCATTCTGAGAAATATGAATTTTCTGTACAGTTCCTAAGATGCTTCACTCTTTTGTTTCTCTGTAGTAGAAAAAAAACCCCAACTTCATGATGAAGGGTAATAAGAGCCTCAAGCGTGGTGGTAGGGCTCAGTGGTTTTGGAACTTGCCTCAACTTGGACAACAGCTAAACTTCATTTTGAGGAACACACTAGAAAAATTACTCTTAACAATTACTGGAATGCAAATATTTTCCGAGATGCAGCACCGGCCTATTTCATGACCACTCCTGTGCTCTGCAGCCAAACAGCTTCTTGGTTTAAGAGGATGTTCAGGATGGGATGGGGTGAGATCTGGCCTACAAAGAAGTAACTAACAAGTGCCAAAAAATTTCACCTGTGAAGTCTTGGTAGGGCTTATGTATCTATCCCCACTGGGATGCAGCAGGATGCTGCATGTTACGCTAACACTGTGTATATGAAACTGCTGAAGGAGGGGAAAAAGAAAGGCTTTTGTGGCTAAAATTCTCAGGTAAATAACTTCCAGGGGGAGTAGTGCAGTTCTAAACAGGTACATAAAACAAACATCACCATCAAAAGTTGAAAATTCCCTCTGGCAGCTGAGCTATATTCAACATCTCTACCCTAAACATGAAATACACTTTGTGGCCTGAGCCAGCTTTCCCCTCGCACCAGATCTCGCTTCTCACAAAATACCAATCCTCAGTTTCATACTTCTTTTCCTAAAGGTTTCAGAGGTTCTTGGGTTACTAATCAACAATTAGTACAGGTTCTAAAAGTAATGATAAAGGGACAGTAGTTTTGATATAAGGTGGAACTAAACATCAGAAGGATACAGATGGGTTGGAGTGAGTCCAGAGGAGGCCTCGAAGATGCTCAGAGGGCTGGAGCACCTCTGCTATGGGGACAGGCTGAGAGAGTTGGGCTTGTTCAGCCTGGAGAAGAGAAGGCTCCAAGGAGACCTTATTGCACCTTCCCGTACCTGAAGGGGCTACAAGGAAGCTGGGCGGGACTTTTTACAAGGGCCTGTAGTGACAGGACAAGGGGTAACGGGTTTAAATTCAAAGTGGGGAGGTCTAGATTAGATATCAGGAAGAAGTTCTTCCTGGAGAGGGTGGTGAGGCACTGGAACAGGTTGCCCAGAGAAGCTGTGGATGCCCCATCCCTGGAAGTGTTCAAGGCCAGGCTGGATGAGGCTTTGAGCAACCTGGTCTAGTGGAAGGTGTCCCTGCCCATGGCAGGGGGGTTGGAACTAGATAGTCTTTAATGTCCCAACCCAAACCATTCCGTGAAATAAACAAGATTTTGATTTATAAAAGAAAGCAAAAGCCAAGGTGTAGCCTTTGTGTAGTACCCTAGGCCAGGCTACCGAAATTTCCAGTTGTGGGGCTCCTGAAAAACTTCCATAAGCTGCAGCTGGGACAGTGGCCAAAGAGCTGGGTGTGGTGAACACTGGCAGCTTGTGGAAACAGCCTGAGTGGCAGTGGCAATCCTCCACTTCTGGCCAGGGAACTGTTTGCACTGGTGTCTTCCACTACTCCAAAGCCTATAAAGCAGCACCTTGCACAAGTTCAATTAAAATTAATTTCTATTTGCTACCTTTCCAGGTAACTGGGTTTTTTCCATTTCTCCCCTGTGAGATGTACCTTACTGTAAATAACAGCACGGCAGCGCACTTACATTATATGGCAGGGCTCATTTCTGTCCTTCAGGCAATACCCCGTTTCCCATTTCTTTTTTGTAGGAAATGACGTTTTAACGTACTTTGATCCAGCGTGTGTATTTTTCACTCCACACCATGGTGCATCTGTTTTCATTTGAAAAAAGAATTAAGAGCATACGATCGTTTGAGAACAGCACGAGAGACTTTAATCAACTACTCCCCAGACCAAAGTTCTTGCAATCTCTTTCTAGCAGCGACTTCCAATTCAAAATGTAATTTAAGAGATTTGGGCAATTTAACATCTTGACAATCTTTGGATCTTCAGGCTGTTACCTTTGAGATTTTACATTTCAAATAATCAGCAATAATTATTTGAATAAATAACTTAATTAATGAATAATAGCATGTAACGCCTATTTTCCTCTGACACGCTAAAGATCGCTTCATGTGCTGCATGTATTCCACAGAAACTTCTGCATACCTCAGCAGGTCTGCACTTTCCGTGCAAATTAATTTAGGGATCTAGCAGTCTGTGGTTTTCCTTCCTCAGATTCAGAAATTAAAATTTTATAACTGTTATAACTATAATTTTATTTATAACTGCCCGTTATTGATAATTGAAATGAACATTTAAAAAAGCCTCCCTAGTCAGTCATTTAAAATCACTACTCATTAGGCCAAGAGGGGACCAAGTGTTCTTCCACCTTGCTCCATTCAAGGAGCAGTTGTTTCCAAATGCTGTTCCTGCTACGAGCAGCCCAATGATACCCCTGCCTTCGGCACAGCTCCGGCCAGCCAGATTCTACAGGGCACTCAAGCAGGACTCTGGTACCTAGGCACACTTAAATCCTGCCCTTGTCCATTTGCCCTTTCCCTCTTGCCCTGCAGTGTCAGGAACTGACAAGGCAGCTTATTCCCTCCAGCACAAGGCTGAAAAGGAGTATTTCTGGAGCCTGTAAACTACTTTCCAAAGTGAGGAAACAGCCAGGCCTTTTTCTACTCCGAACTCCTTAGGTCTTGTCTCTGTTATCACTGCTATGCAAGCACGTCTCCCTGCCCAGTGGTGTTCAAGTCACAAACCTGACCACGATATAAAATCTTACCAGTCTCTATCATTAATCTCTCACTAGGAATTGATTTCAGCGTTTCCAAGTTGGCTTCTGTTTTCAGTGAGCTGGAAGATCAGTTTGGTTAAAAAAAAAAAAAAAAAGAAAAGAAAAAAAGGTGCATAAAAGTGATTACTCTGCCCGCTGAAATGTTTTGTAGCAAAAGCAGCATCCTGAATAACTGGGAGTGAACAAAACTTGTTTCATTTTCAAAGAGCACTGCCTGCCAGTTCGAATTTTGCAGAGAAGTACGAATCTGGAGTTACTGGGTGAAGCCATCTCACCCTGGTAGGAGCAGAGTGCCCCTACCCCTACCCAGCCTCAGCAACCCACGCGACGTAGGAACCGGTGCGGGCTGGCTTTTGGCCAGACGACTGCTGAGAACTCGGACTGCCCGAGGAGATGAGGCTGCTCAGGATACATGTGCAGCCTGGATTCGACATGGCAGCTTAAAATCAGGCTATTTTTTCAACACGTCTCAAAGACTGCTTCCACATTCAACAGCCGTATTTATTTACAAACAAGGAATGACCAGAGGGGAGTAGGATGGACCTAAGACTAGATTAACTCTCTGAGCTGTGAGTTAAGAACTTTTTATGGCTAAGAGACTAACGAGTGCAATTCTAAATCTGACAGATGACAAAGAGTCTAGTGAGCTTTGAAAACCTGACCTCGTTGTTTACAAGAAAGCAGTGAGTTCACTACAGCTGACATTTTAAAATAGTTTTATTTCTTGTAAAGAACTTACCAGCCATTTATTCCAATATAAAGATCCAAATCTAGTAGAGCTGCTGCTTCTTCCTTTGTGCCATCAAATGAATGTACCTAGAACATATATAGATCACAGAAT